GCATATAATATTACATGCGATCGTCCCAAGAATGTTTCAGAGCACGTGAACACTGGGAAACGAACACCGGCAATTTCCATCGGTTGGCATCGCGAAACCAAATAAACGGCAATAATTAGCCTAAGTTGCCGTAATTGCTACCCACGAGCCCCCCAAACGGAACACGGAAAATAAGGAAAGTGGGCTACAGCCTGCACCGGTGTAGAAGAAGTGGCTGCAGGTTGCTGTAATTAGTATCTTTTTGCGTCGTTAGAGTTAAGCGTCGCTAGCGTGCAGCGGGCAACGATAGGGCGAACGCGAGGTATGTTAATGGACGCGATAGCAAGTGGCCACGGTGGATCTTCTCCCCTCGGTGGTTTATAATTCGTGAAACGACCAATTAACATTCTCCGAAAAGAGTAGGTGGTCCGTCGGGGTCCTAAACAGGATCGAGTTACAAACTTTCGCGTCTGTATAACCGGGCATAACAATATCCGTAATCTTAATTCAAATCTACGCGAAAACGTGCCTTCGCGTTTCGTTGGGGGGATATGCGTTGCGGGAACATCGGGGCCGAATTCGATGGACTCTCGAAGTACGAAGGCAACGAAGAGGCAGATAAACGAGGATGTAAATCTTCGTTAATGATTGCCGGTTGAAAGTCGCGGAACGATCAAAGTAACTTTGCTGCTTCATAAACTTCATTTCTCGAGGATATCGGGGCTTAATTAGTATGAACATAAATTGCTAATACCGAATTATAATCGAAATTGATTATCGTCGATGTTTACGCGAAACATTGAAAAAAATACCATAACCGTAACGAAACCTTTGGGTCGGACAAAAAGTTTCTTCGTTTTATTCTGAAAATAGTCAAAGCAATTCCATAAAATAGAACAGATACTTAGATATTTTTAAGCAGTCACGAGTAGAAAATACTCTACTTTTCAACGAAGGTAAAAATATGAATTATTAGTTGAGAGTGAATATTCGATATTTCTGTGGCTTGCTATTAGTATAGCAATTGATCTTCGACATGTGTTACGAATTTTTCTATTTATACCCGTTTTTTTCTACACGTATGTATAAATAGCCCGTTCGAGGGTAGAAACGTCCGAGATTAGGAGAGTCGATGTTTAACGCGTAGCGTACTCGAACAAATATTTCGCACGATCATCGTATTCAAAGGTAAGAAGCATAAAAGTAGCGAAACGCGTATGCACGGGCAACAGATGCAAGAAGACTGCCTCGACTGTACTCCCGGCTGAACTGGAGTTCTTCCGCGATGAAAGACACGTACACACGGAGAGTGAACCGCCGCTGCAACCGGTGTATATTGCCTTGTGCACGGCAAGATCTTCGATCAAGAGCATGCGCGCGTTTCGTGCGCGAACGAACAGGCAACGCGACCGAGAGCGTACACAACGTGCAACCACCGAGAATACGGGAACGCATACTACACGTACCTGTTGCTTTCTCTCTGCAGCCGGGATGCTGAAGCCTATGTTGTACGGGACAGGACGGGATCCGCGAATGTAACGAGATCGCCGCGTATAAATCCTCTATCCAGGGTGTTATTTTCGAACAAAGGATGACGTTTCGCACGGCACTCGTGGACGGGGACGCGAGAGGTGACCGATCTGCCCTTGTAAGCGTCGCGGCGCGAATCATTGGACACGGTTCCCGGCCCCCCGCATCGTCGGACCCGAATCCCTTTTCGCGCAACACTACGCCGCGCCGCCGCCGCCGCGTAATATCCCGCGCGTGAGCTCTCGAACTCGAACCGACACCACTTCACAGCTGCACCTGCACTTGCACTTGCACCGCACCGCGCGAATAACAGCGCTACGTCGTGGCACAGAATCGTGGGGCCCCGACAGATCACGGGGTACCGTCGCGCCGTCCTATATCGAGCCGAGAGAACCGACGACGGTGGCATCCTCGCGGCATCACCGTACACTGCACTCGAGTCAAGCCGAACGCTCGGCTCGCTCTCTTCCCTCTCGCTCTCGTCTCGATCTCGGTCTCTTCTCCGCCCTGCGGACTCTTACCGTTTTTTCTCCTCCTCTTGTGGCCCGTTTTTATCCCCCTTGTACCCTTTTTCTCTTCTATCCCGCCACACTCTCCGGAGTCTCGTGTTTCACAACGAACGGACAGGCACCGCTTCTCGGACGTATTCGGTAACCGTTCGCGGTTCAACGATCGGAAAGGTTACAGCGAGACGCGCGCATAGTCGGCGGAGGGAATAATATCGCGAGTTAGATCTGTCATATCGTGGCTGTGGACGCGTACGCGTACGGGCAAGATAATTTTCGTTGGTACGAGCTCGTAAATCGATAGAATCGATCGCATCGTTCGAGCTACGACCGGTCCGTGGATCTCGCCCCCCCGTTCGATCGCGGAGGCTGCGTCGCGGGTTACTCGTCGAAACGGCGTCGCGAGAAAGACACTTCGCGGTCGATTCTCAAATGGTAGACGGATTCGTCTCGGTACAGTGCTCGAAGGTATCCTCCGCACAGTTGCAAACTGGGTAGAAGGGTGTCCCGTACGTACGATGGCACGGCAACACGCAGTCGAGAGACTCGAATCGGACTGGCTGTTGAGATGAGGCCCTTTTCCCCCACCCCGTCGGCTCCATCGACTGGTTGCTTCTCTCCTCGCGTCAGGCCCCCCCACTTCCCACATGCCACCGGACATTCTCCTCCCGTCCCTCCCCCGCGGTCTACGACTTTGCTCGCATCATTGTATCTTTTCCCTTCTTTTTCGCCTCCTTCGTTTCTCCCGTGCTTCGCCCTTTCTTTCGCGCGCATGAACTTAGCCCGAGGAACTCCTAATCAGGGATGGGCAAAATGTATTTCAAAAGGTATTCGTACGACGGCTTCTGTATTAATTTGTATTCTGTTTGTAATCGAATGCTTCCAAGTATCTATTCGCTCGTTGTACCCGACAGCTGTATTATAGTAACCACTGAATATTTCATACATTTTCATCCATGTATATCGCAAAGTTGGCCAGAATGTACATTTTTTAATTATCCAAATTTTGTCAGGCCACTTTTTTTTATAAACTGGTAATGAATATGTGTTTAAAAAATTTTTGATCGGAATACTTTAAAGGCCCAGAAATTGGGACATCCAACCCGATGAACCTGATCGTCGTACCAAGGTTCACCGTCCCTCCATCGCGTTCTTTCTCTGGTGCTTCTGATAAGTGTTCGACTGACATTGCAAGTGCAGAGTCACCGCCGGGGGCACAACTTCGTAGACATCTGTGTCTTATTGTGCATCCGTTCGTCCCGTGAATGGTTATCTCCGATCTCCCGGGCATTTTACTATTACGTCGGCTACGAGCGTGCCATGATTATTATAATGTATCCCTCGCAATTTTCGAGTCGCGCTAACGAGACCGTGTTACCACCGTTTAAGATAATGCGCCCATCAATTTGTTCGCCACTGTCGGAAAGATAAAATAAGTATACCGACTGGACAGGAGAAGCTCGCGTTTAGCGGTCTCCTTTGATCGCCATTTTATTAAATCTAAACGCGCCTTTCAATCGACTCTCGTTAACCAATATTCCTTACTTTCCCTATGATGAAGGAAAATATTGTAATTACAAATAATTCTGAAAATACTCTCAACACAATTTTGATATTAAAAAAAAAAAAAATTAACACTGACGATCACTGTCACGTGTGTAGATGTATTAATTAATATATTTGTGCAATTATTAAGAATCGTTTCAGGGTTTACCATGACAATTAATGACATCTATCGAAAAACATGACAAACAGCTTGGCGCTAATACGACATAGCCGACTATGAAATGGACGACAGACAAGAGAAAGTCCGTTGCGCGTTCTCGAATTATTAAACTCACGTATGTAATCTTTTTACTTGATAGTAATTTATACGAATATTTGTTTATCCAATAGGGAGAAAGAACCAAAAATGTACAGTGTATCGCACTTCTGAAATAAGTACGAGAAAAAATAAACGTTTAAAAAACAAAAATTGCTTACGTACCGTTTGCCCTCGATACTTTTTCTCCCCACGCTTTCCTCAGTTCCTGAATTTGATTACTCGGCATGACGTCGTTTCTGCTTCACCTGCATAAAATTATTTAAATTCGTACGAATTTTAATTATCAATGATGTCGATTACATAAGGTATAATAAAACGAGTGATAAATGCATTATAAATGATTCTCACACACTTTGCCCCTTAATCGTATTAATTAATAAGTCACGTTCCAAGTCACAAGGTTAACAGAAGACCTGGTCAATTACGTGACATCGACCGACGATAGCTTTGTAGACGTACATCGTGCGGACATCGGTTTTTTTTTAGTTTCGTTCAGCGCTGAGCGCAGTATGCGTTTTCGGACGTAGAAAGGGCAAGCGTTCGAAGCGCCTTTAATTTCAAACGAAACAATTCGATAGCTGCGGTCGCGTCGGGCGTCTCGGTCGCCGTCGGAGTTGCTCGGCCAACCACGTGATAGTTATCGAGAAATATGGCGTGAAGTTGGCACGAAGATGGTTGTCGCGAGTTACGAAAGAGTCGACGATTTCTCGCGGGGAAGTCGCTTCCCAATCGTCCGGAAAAAGTGCCGCACTGCTGTTTTCCCTCTTGGATCCAGCCCGCGAACGACAGTGCAATGTTATACGACATCAAATGGATCATACCGAAGCTTCGAAACTCGGCCAGACTCTGGAACATCGCGAGCAGTATAACCTTCGCGGCAGTAGGGATTTTCTCTAAAATCATTATAGGTAAGCACCTACGCGAGCCGGTTTTTCGGTAAAAATCAGTACTGTTCGTTCCGCGATGTTGGCGCGCTCTTCTAACAACGGTCGCTTCGAAATGCATTCAGGAATCGTTTCACGAGGTTCGGAAATCTGATAATTTTTCCAGCGGAACGCGACGACACGTATTATAACTGCACGTTCCACGGTTAATTTCTATCATTGGCGGATGAACGGAAAGGACAACGAAGGGTTCAATTGGAACCGATTATCGCAAAGTTGATTATCGTTTCGTGAATGAACGTGCGAGACATCGCGACTGGACATTGCTGATTTATATAATCGTAGAATATTACGAGAAACAATTCGATTCGATCGACAAGATAATCGTTCGCCTGATATTTTTTCTATGACTTGTTTTATCAAACATAACCTGTATACGATATAATCGCGTTAGTACATTTTTTTTTTTACATGAAAACTTTGTGTCTATCATTGTTCTGATAGTACATTGTCATTTCTTTCAACAATCTTACCGTAACAAAGGAAAATCTTTTATCGTCGCAACAACATCGTGCAGATATTTTTCAAACGTGAAAATTGGAAAAGATATTATTAAGTCATAGATCAAATATGTTGTTACGCAAATTACACGATTAACATTAATATCTAATAATCTGGAATCGTTAAGTCTAATTACGTATCACGGGGGAAAAAGGCACGATGAGTCGTAATTGAAAGTTGCACGTAATGTTTTATTGCAGAACTCGTCTTCGTACGTATTCAACGTATTCGTATATCACGTAGTGGATCGGTGTTGTTGTTTTTTTTCACTCGTACGGGTACACTTTAAGTCTAAAGTTTAGATACGTGTTTTTGTTCGAAATAATAGGTCAACGTAACCATGAATTATCGTATAATTGTCCCCGACATTTATGTCGTCCAATTACTCGGTATACAATTTTTTAAATTTCGCGCGCACATTTTAAATATACATGTCCGAACGAAAGCGAAAGAAGATTAAGCAAACCATACACAGACACGCGAACGAATACGTAAGTAATGATAATAAGAAACGCATAATTATTTTCGCCACGCTTCGTTGAAACATTTAAAACTGGAACATATATTTCTATCGATTGTGCTTCGCCATAAAAAATAACGGAGGTTCGACTCGAGATTACGAAATTCGACCATATACACACGAGTGCAACGGAGTTAAATGTACCATTTTATTAACAATTAACATTTAACGCGTTCAGTGTCGAACGAGTTTTTCCACATATTTTTAAAGTTAATTCACGATACGGTGCAACGACGGGCACCGGTGACCGCCACGACACTCGACCCGTTAATTGTTCGAACTTGATGCGAAACTTAACATAAAATTAATATTCATCATTAACATTCCGATGCTTCCTAACAGCACGTGTCTCTAACCGTGGACTCGGTTAACAATCGGCACGAGTCTGCCGCCATCGTTGATCCCCTGGTGATTTCCAGTAACGGCTTATAACCCTGGAAACGGGCACCGACGTGTTTCGCTTTCGTACGGTTTAATTTATTTCTGCGATGTGTGGTATTTCTAATTTCAGGTAGAATTGTCTATGCGTTACCGCCCAACGAAGGGCACAGGAAATCAGTCATTGGTCCTCGCTGGCCTTTCAGTGAGTACCACTGATTTACGAGGACGGCTCGATGTTGACTTAGTGACGATACAATAAACTTCGGAAATTAAGCGCATTACTCAATTGGTTGAACGCGTAGACTCGACGTACGCGCACATCCCGACCCTCCCTCCACGCCCCCCCCCCTTTTCCCCCACTCCTCTATTCTTGGTCGTTTCATCAATTTCTCGGCGGTGTAATGGTAGCGAACGAGCGTCGATGCTCCGTCACTTATTTTTTCGAATTCAATGTCACCGCCGCACGAAATTCCACTGCTTTTTTTTCATTTCTGCTCGCCTTGTCTAACAATTCGCTTTTATGTTCGGTGTGCACGGTGATTCTCATGGATTGTCTGAAATTTTGGGAAAACGATATTGGAAGATAGGGAAGTTGTGGAGATTTTAAGGTCGACTTTCAAACGATCGTGTTGGATAGAATCGATTGGCCGCTCAAGGTCGTTGGGAGGTGTCCCCGCCACGCCGTCAAACTGCACCGCCATCTCGCGGCTCTTTCGTCAATCTCGTCCGTGCGTTGCAAAGGGCACACAGATTTGAAACCATTTTGAATCGTTTTCTGTGCTCCTTGTACGGCGAGACTCGTCGCCGATCATGCTTGATTTTTGCATAGGTGACTTCTACCAGGACTTGAAAAGATCCTGAAAATAATTGTTTTAAACCGTTACATAAGAATTCTGTAACTGTTGCGCAGAACTACCAGAAAAGACCGTGCGTTTCGCGAAATCTTTTTCTGCGGTATCGCACACAATAGAAGTTGCTCAAGGCACCAAGAACAGTGACTCAATCTGCATACCGTAACTGATAACCGATAATTGAGCGGTTCGAAGGACTGGACGTTCAGCCTGGAATTTGCTTGTCGTAATATACCTCTGACGACGAGCACCGAAAGCAACGTCACGGTTTTATCGCGAGAGGTCAATCAAGATAACGAGCACGCGTGCCAAAAAAAAAACGGCTAGACTCGAAAAATTCCGAAATTAGAAATAGATATAAATTCACCCGAGCACCAGTACGAGGGAGGTATCGTGGTAATGCTTATCTTAAAAAGCCACCAAAGTTCTTAACCTCACGAAATTACATATTTCGTCATCGATTTTCGTAACTCATTGGCAAGATAGTTACGTATTCGTGACCTTGAATAACCTTGGACGATAGGGCGTTGAACTTATCTCCGCAGCAATCGCCGTCCCTATGGAACACAGAGCTGGATTAGAATAAAGATTAAACGAGAAAGACGACCTTGGAATCTCCAATATCTACGAAACAATCGATAAGCACTTTTGCATACTATTGTTTAACGCATAAGAATCATCCTGGTATATCGTCACCATCGACTTTCGTAATAGCAATAGTTAGAATAAAGCTTTAGAATTGCATGTAAACACGTATGCAAAATCGGTACGAAGCGTCGATATAAAGTTAACGCTTGAAATTTTCAACGTCGCTGATTGAGAATTTCTACACGCCTAACAGCTGCAACTATCTTATCGAGGCAAACAAATCGTTATCGGCAGGGGCACGCCAAGGATTCGATGTCCTGCAAAGAAGCTATTCGTTGTTCGAAAATATATCAATATCGATCCCCTCTCCCTTTAGACCTTTTATTTTGTAAAAGTTGAACATTTTAATCGTTGACTCTATATTGACGTTAAATGCTGTAGATCGAACGCATTCCCGGCTCAAGTTCTGCTAGTCCCTTCCCGAGGATCCGAATTAATTTACCGAAGCGTTTCTTTCCGTTCGTGCTGTTTAAGAATGGCTGAACAAAACAACGGTGTACAACAAGCACATCATGACGCGGGCGTTAAATTGCCGGCCGAAAAACGTTCCCCTCATCACAGTGTCGAATCACCACAGTTGCTTCGACGATCCGGGCATATGGGGTAAGTCGCGCGATGATAATACGGATTGTTTAACAATTCCCATTATTCATCGACCTCTCTTTAACACTTTGACGGCCGCTATTGTTTCAGCCGCCGTGTCAGCATTAAAGTTCTCAAATGGATGCCCTCCACGAAGATGTTAATGCTTGAATATTCATAGAAACGTTGAAAATAAGGTTAGGGGGCCTCCGCGCGTTAAACGTGCGACCATTAAAGTGTTAACGCTCGCGTTCCATCGATCGTGGATCCGTCTATCGCTCGTTACCGTAAACATCGGACTGTGCAAAAGGATCGTTGAATGTCGCTATGTTATTTCAGGTTCTGAGAACGATACGAGTGCCCCTTGTAACACGAGAAGCCTCGCTATCTACTCATATTGCGGCTTTGGACGTATACACAAGGTGTCCTTAAAACGTTCGACCAAACTGGTCGGAAGCGAACGCTCGTCGAATACAATCGTAGAATAAATTTTAGAAAATTATCTCTAAAACTATCACGAGTTTTTGTGGACAGAACAGAATCGAGAATCAACGCCGCTGCACGGCTATCTCCGCCATATTGTTTACGGTTCCGTGTCCTCCTTTAATTCGTTCCTTCGCGAGCAATCTTTATCTTTGAAATCCGAGAATCGACGAGCTGGCGCAAATGCAGAATTCTCTTCTGGCGTGATTTACTATCGAAGCTCGACTTTGAACAGCCAATCTATTTCGATCCTATTATAGTCTTCCAACACCCTTGAAGCGCTTTCATTATGCGTGACTCTGAATTGCTTAAACTTCGTGGAAAGAATCGAACCCCGTCTTGATTACATAAACATTGCATTCGTCGATCCAGCCGGACTTCCGGTTTTGGTCGAACGTTAGGCAACCGAACAAATGATTTGACAGCTCGCAACCGACTTGGTTAGGCAACGGCAATGAAAATGGTGCGCATTCAAGGTCTCGATGCATCGTAACGTTCGAGAAACCGACGAGCCTTCTTTCGGTTACGATTAACCCCTTGATGTACGATCAAATCGGAAATAATTTTTCAGACGTGTACTATTGCTCGTTAAGTGTACTATTACAGCAAGGGGTTAAAAATTGACGCTCTCACGTTCCCCCTGCCTGAGACATATATAATCTTTTCTTTCTCAGAATGACGTCGATACGCGATCGAATGAAAAGAATTTAAGACAGAAAAATCTCTGAACTCATTTAGCGACACTGGACCTGAGGCACCTACTGAATCGACGTAAGATGAGATGGGCACTAGCCGCGCACGACATTTGTTTCACCAAGACCTGGCATTCCTACTTCTTCATGCTGGGCAAGTGCATTCCCGTGATCAGAGGTGCCGGAGTGTACCAGGAAGCAATGAATTTCAGCATCGAGAAACTGGCCTCCGGGGAATGGGTTCACGTGTTTCCCGAGGGGAAAGTGAACATGCTAAAAGAGGACCTGAGGTTTGACATTCCGTTACGCGGACGATCGTAACCATCCACCGTGAATCACGACGATTACTGCTTCGTAGGTTCAAGTGGGGCGTAGGAAGGTTAATAATGGAGTCACCTGAGCCGCCCCTGGTGATACCGATTTATCATCTAGGCATGGACGAAATACTACCGAACGAACCGCCGTACAGATTGAGACTACGGAAAAAGGTCACCATTAATTACGGTGACCCTATAGATTTTAGCGAATTAGTGCATGAATTACGTACATCGAAAGCTAGCGAGATGGAAGCAAGGAAAGCGATCACAGATCGTATTCAGAACGAGCTTATAAAGTACGCTTCTTCCTTCCGTTTCAACCTTACAAAGATTTCGAATCAAATCGATCTAACGTGTTTTCTTTTTCTTTTTTTTTTTTGTTCTGTTTCAGATTAAAATCGGCCACCGAGGAACTTCACGGAAAGTTATGATGATCGATCGGGGGACCGTCGCACTGTTACCCCCTGCTAGCTTTAATTTGCCAAAAAAAAAAAATAAAAATGCAATTTTAATATGACAATAGGTGGTACTTGTGGTACTAGGTTTTTTTTTTTTAATCGGAGGTGATCACCCGAGGACGACAGTTTAGCAATACTTGTGTAATTGTGCAATGTAACACGGAATGCCGGACAACAGTGATTTAGACTCTCTAAAAGGAAAACGCCACGCTCGTATGACAGTCGGTTTCGAATTTTAATTTGAATACGAGTCGCCCCCGACTTAACTAAGAATGCCATTATACGTTTTCACGGTGGACGCGAACCCGTGCGCAATAATGTATATACATACACACGTGTACATAGAACGAACCATCGGAACATGTTAAATATAGACTCGCATAGATTGTTGATAGAAAGAATGTTAAGATAATCATAAATTACGAAAGCTCCTGAACAATAATTACGTCCTCGTTGCTACGTAGCACGATCGCGCCTTGCCTTTGTGCGCCGCCATTACAATATGTAGGAGCTTTGTAATTTTTGGTCGCACAACTAGCGTAATACAATCTTGTAACGTTTGATTAATTTTGTATTTATTAAACTTATTCCGCATATACTAAAAAAAAAAAAGAAAAACGAGGAACGAGAAAATCTTTTATATACTAATGAGCAATGTGATTTTGAATGGAAGTTAAAATAAGGTAAAATTCAACTAACACCCAATTTACCGGTTTTTTTTTTAAATAAGAAATGGTCACTATCGCGTCGAGAAAGATCGAATCAAGTTATGGTAGTGTTCGACGACTACAGTCACACTTTAAACGGCGATGTTCGCATACGCACATATATTTTTGATATACTGAGAATTTACAATATAATGTTAAAGATACTTTGAATGATAAAAATATTGCAAAGATATGCATATTTTGTATTTATTAAATTCTCGTAGCGAGTAGTAAAATATCTCCTACATGAAAACTATCTTTTTTTTTTTGTGTCGAATTCGTATCGAACAAGATTATTGTTGAAAATGTAATGTGATATCTATTTTTTTCTTTTTCTTTTTTTTACACGATTATTTCGTTTCGATAAATTATTTCTTGCGTTAGCGGATAGTTTGAAGTAACGTTCGATATACACAGCGTTACGGCCGTTTACACAATAGCTAACATAATGTTCCTTATAAACAGAAGATAATAAAACTTGTTGACGTATTTACTGTTTACGACGAAGAACTTCGAATTATACGAACCACAAATTTCTTTCCTCAATAAATATATAGAATTGATTTTATTTCCGACTCCCACGATCGTAGATAAAACAAACGTTCATATTAATCTACAAGGAATAGCTTTTACACGGACGTTTAAAATCGTTACATATGAAAATTGTGACTATATTACATGCTTTCGTTACGATATTCACAGACAAATCTTACATACACCGTATGTGACATATAGAAATAGATTACGTTCTCGTTTACCACTAATGTTTTTTCTTTCTTTTCTTCTCTCTTTTGATACTCATCAACGGAAAGATCGCATACGTTTTTCTTGGCACATTTTCTCTCTTTGCGGGAACACGCGTTTTCGATTCGACGATCGATACAAAGAAAGCAACATACATTCTCAAGTTTACGAGACGAACGAGGAGGCTCGCGGATACTTCTTAATAGGACTATACATTAATACGTCACACATATCATAAACTTTGAATAGACAGAACGGTATATAACATTAACGAGACAAAATTTACGTAATACATTAGGTGCTATCACTCTCAACTTATCACTTATCGTTCCATACTCTCTGGGCTCCGTCGCGAGAAATCGATGAAGCAAATTTATTAGAAATCACGACTGCGAAAACACAGATCGATACAAATAAAATCCTATGGTAATAAAGATTGTATAATCATCATCCTATCTACATACATTGATAATTAAAATGCCGTATCGTGTTCACGAATAAAATTTACGAATACAACAAACTTCTCCAGACCCCTAAATATAATAGAGTCGACAGAAAGATTATATTATATTTCATTTTTTTTTTTTTTTTTATTTGAATATATATATATATATACTTGATTTGTTTGACTTTTGTGCCATCGATGAGACACGCATACGATATATATATAAAAGATCATCTTTTTAAAAATCTGTCCATGATTCTATTAAACTTTTTATAACCTCAAATCCGACTATGGACGGTGTTGAAAAAATAAAAATAACAAATAATACTTAAATGTTGCCCATTTCTAACAACGATTCATGCGGCTAATATACATATATATATAGCATGACTCTGTATATGATTCTTTGTAAATACACGATTAATGACTATTTGCTTCAGCAACGTACACATTAAAATCCTATGCAATTTAAATCTATAAGTTCTGTTAAATATCGTGATCGAATAAAAACTATAAACACCATCATATCCAACTGATAAAAAGAAAATATAGCATCGTTTGTGGTACAGACCGCGTCGTGCTATCCCTAGAATAAAAACGTTCAACAATTTCCTTTCGATTATCTACTTAAACGCCTCACGGGTGTCCATTAGCAACTTTCCGAAGACTAGTTTTGTTGAAGTTACAAATACTTCCGAGCAAAGCTGCACGTTTGTTGGTCACGTTCGGTGAGTTGTCGGCAGCACCATTGGATGGTGGCTTCGGAGGTGGTGGAATAGTACCTTTACCGGGAGCTCCGTCACCTTGCGACACATCTACAGAACCTTGAGTTAAATAAACTATAACTTTTTTAACGGTAATTTTACGACATCGCTTGGACACACGAACACATAATACAAATGATCCTCAATCTTTGTACCGATAACACGCGGGGATGGGCAATCGATATTCGCGTAAAGTGCTAAATTTATATTTATATCCTCGATGCACAGAATAACTGACGAACAACCTGACGTATTGTAATCTGCGACGATTCGCGACGAGAGTAAAAATTTCGTTTTCATCCTACCGCTAGTTCCAACAATTTTCAAGATCCTCTTACGCGGGAAATGATCCATTCGACAACGAAGACGAATAAAAGTATTTTCAGGCAACAGACTACAGAATACAAATTAGTAAGGTATTCGTCGTTCGAATACTTTCCCATCCCTGATCAAAAACTACATCTACTGCAAAGTACTATTGGTTCAGAGCCAGAGTTGGGCATTAATCCACTAATTTTTCGCTATAAACGATTTAATCGTCGGGATTAATCACGATCGATGTTAATAGATTCCTGAAATTAATAGCTTACAATCATTTGGCAATCAAATTAATCATTAATTCAACGTATATTATATCATGAATAACACAACATCTTGGGATTACTTAAATCGTAATCGACAATTTTGCCTAACGCTGTTCAGAACACATACGCTAAAAATGAATTAGTATAAGAAAAAAAAAATCTAACAGAATACCCAAAAAGTGCAATTAGAAAATGTATCCAAGCAATGGTCAAATGAGATGTACGAGTGGGTATAATTAATGCGGAATGATCGTATGACCTACGTGAGAGAAATAAGCGTAGTATGCGCCATCAACTTTTGTGCCCAGCTAATGTAAAAATCGGGAAGATCGGTTAATGTTAGTAATTAATGAAGACGATCTCTAGATGATTCTGATACTTACGGTAAGACGGTGGAGTCAAGGTCCCAACGCTGGTAGCCGTGGAAGTGCTTATTGGACTGTCAGAACGTTCTGGACTCTTGCCATTCGCTTGCTTCATCCCGTTTGTACCCAATTGGTTCGCAGAACGTTGTTCTTGTGCCAGTTTTTGTTCCTTCTTCTACGAGCGGAGAATTACCAATGAATTACAAATCGAAATATTACACTCGAGATATTTACCAATTTCTGTTTCCGTTTCTTCATCTCCTCTTCGGAGCTCATCAGCTCCTGAACTTTGACAAGCCTTTTTTGATGCCTAACTACTTTTTGTTCGTCTTTCAGTCTTTGCTCGGCTTTGTTCACCGCCTCGTGCAGAGCTTCTTTTAAATGACTACTTAATTTGAAGTGAGGTTTCTCCATCGATCCGATGGCTAACGCGGCGCGTCTCGCTGGTTCGAAAAACGGGTGGTCCAACAAATGTAAGATCGTCGGCAGATCTTGTTTCAGGGCTTCGGGCGACAGGATCACCTCGAGCAAACTTTTTAGGGTTGCCTCGCAGTACGGGAACTCGGAACAGGTTGCTTCTAGAAGCGGCCTACCGAACGCCATCTCGTACAGCACGTGCCCAAACGAGTAAACGTCTACCTGCGTCTGTTTAAAACAATTGTTCGTTTACTCGTCGAATTACTAAGCGTACGTTTGCATATAAAATATGATTCCGTTAGTACCGTGGCGTGAAGTTTACGTCTTTGTACAACGTAGGGCCGGTAAAATGCAGGCAAGCCTAATAGACCATTTTCTATATCTAACAATTTCGCGCATCTTTGAGTCAAAAGAATGTTGCCTGTATGTAAATGTCCATAGGGTAAACCCTTATCGTGAAGAAATCTTAAAGCTTCCAAAATCTGAGATAAGAGTTATTTTTATGTAAGACCAATTAGATTCATTGCTTCAATACAAAATAACGATCTTCTCACCTGGTAACCATACATTGCAATTTCAGACACTGTTAAAGATTTGGTTTGCTTCGGGTTTCCATACTTTTTTATAAACGGTTGCTTAGGTTTAGTTACGCATAACGTGTCGCGCAGCGTACCCGTCTGATGGAAGTTTCTTATCGTTAACGCTCCGTTGTCCGTCACGTGTTGGTAAACAATTGGTTCTACGTAATTGTGCTTTAAAGTTCCTAAACTTTTAAAAACCCCCTGCATATCTTTGTCCTGTAGATGCTTGTCCGGACCGAATTCTACCCACGCGAGCAGCAATTCTTGCTTAGGGTTTTGGCGATTCTTAACGGTATAGTAATGCTTCCTCAATCGCCATCCCATGTCAGGAATGGCCTTAATAACTTCGTAATTGGCATCACTGCGTAAAGCCAGCGACACCTGTTGTAGAGCTATCTCTGAAAAATAAAATTATTCTTTGAAACATCTATCCGTTATATACTTATACGTACATAAGACTAATTTTCATCTACATACCATGTAACGGTGCTGTGTAATTATCCGGATCTAAGAACTTTTTCATGGGAAGAGACGATGCCAGTATGGGATTCATTAGTATTGTGTTTAAAAATTTCTGAAATCAATAATGAAACTTGTTTCTATCGCGAAGCAACGTTGTATAATACCAATATGTTTATTTCGAGTTACAATTAACCTGTAGCGCTATTTGACGTTGAGCTATGAAGTCTGGCTCCATATTACCAATAATTTTCTTTGGAGGAAGTGCCAGATCAATGGCTGATATTGATAAAGCTGCATTGAGCTGCACAAAGTCATTGTAACGTCTGCTGACTCTCCAATAATTTTCTGGAATTGGACCTCTTTGCGTTTTGATCACGTATTCCTGAATTTAAGAAGATGAAATTTTTGTTTAGACGCGTAAAGGTACACGATGGTTGAAAATGTGTTCGAGCAGCGGTCGAATAAAAATCGGCATCGTAAAAGCAGAAGAATGATCGTAAATGGTTATCTAAAGAGCGATAGATCACCGGACATAACGACAGACGATAGTGTAACCGGATATTAAATGACACCTATTATCGAGCAAATCATCAAGATGTATACGCGTCAAGCGTGTACCGTACCGTGTGTCCGTCGATTGTTCTTGCATTTTCTATGACGCTCGTCAGCCTTTCCGTATCATCCAGCGTCACTTTATTTATGTATCGAGTCTCAAACAAAGCCATTGATCATTAATCCGACTGACAGCAGAGCCCGTAAGGGGTACTGCTCGTAGTGCTCGGGCCTATCACATAATTTCCGCGAGTCGCCATACATAACGCGCTTTTGCTTCATTTCAACATCGGTGAACGTATATTTCGCACTCGCTTCGAACGTTTCAATGTCAACCGAACAAACACGAATGTCCCGTTAACGATCGTCGTAATTAAGCGTTACAGACTTCTCGGAATTCAACACCTATCAATTATCATTCACTGTTTCGTCGACCACCCTTTTGCAGTGATACCACGCGAACGAGTGACCACCACAAGGAAAACGAAGATTCCTACAATGCTTTGCGTTTATTATTTCACCGTAATTCGAATATCTATGGACAGGAGTTGCAACAATAAATGCTTGCATTCGATCGTGTACTTATACGACTGATTATCGGGGGCAAGCACTGTACAATCGGATTCCTAGATTCTTGCCGTTCAAGGAGAAAGTCACCATCTTCGATTACCCCTTTTCCTAACCGATCCACCAATTCTTTCAAGATCTTTAAATCTTTAAAACTTTTGTCCGTTGCTCATTGAACGAACTAATAGAAACTTTGTTAGCGATTCGCTCGAGATCGCGTACAGATGTTCGAACGTTCCCGCCCGAGGGCGTAGTACCACGTTCCGTCGTCGCGACTTCCGGCTACAGTTTTGTATCCCTTTTTTCCGAACGTCGTCTGTCGTCGTAATCGTTGTACACCGTGGTGATAGTGCAACGAGATTGAGTCGTGTCAGAAGTGAGCGAGTGTAGATCGTTTTTCCGAAATTACCGTACGAAGGCGAGTCCGGGCGGTGATATCGACGCGTATCGTTCCGAAACGAGCGAACCGAACGTCGAGCGAAGTCGTCGTTCCGTTCGAAAGGGTGCAACGGGAATCCCGCGATTCCGCGATCGAATCAACGGCGAGATTGTTTCCACGGAGAGCATTCGTAACACAGAGAACGGTGACGATGGCAAGGCGGAATTTCGTGTCCACGAACGGCCACGCGAGGCTCGATACGTTTCCCGTCGGGTCGGGCTAACGTAACCGTTCTTCGTACGCGAGAGAACAAATCAAACGAGTGCGCGACGCGTGCTCGTTACGCGTTCTTCTCTTCTATTTTTTTCTTTTTTTTTTCTTCTCTCTTTTACCAGCCGCGTTCGTGTCGTCGCCAGCGTGTTAATTAAACAAACAAACTGTGGACCGGGTGGTGTTAATCGGACACGCTGCGAGAAAATCTGGAAAGGACGCGCGAGTCGATGGGAAAAAGGAGGCGGCGGAGGAGAAAGAGGCAGGAATTTAAGGTACAATACGAAATGGAGAACAACGACGAGGCGCGATCCGTCGCCGAACGTGCGTCCACGTCCAAGGAGGAATCGTCCGCTCCCGGCACCGCCGACGACAATTACGGCTGCGAGCACTACAAGCGAAAGTCCAAGTTCGTGGTGAGTCCTCTCTTCTCTCTCGCGTTCCTTTCTAGCCGGAACGGCTCGCGTACGCTCGAGCGAGAAACCGCTCTGTTTTCGACATCTCGATCACGCGGATCCACGGTGATCACTTGACGTTTCACCCGCGGCGGCGGCGGCTCACCGACCAATCTTCCGAATCCCTTTCGGCGTACATCATTCAGCGCGACCATCTTTCGAACAAGTTCGGTAGAGAACGGTGGACGATTCGTGTCCAGTTAACCCTTCGCTTTGTCCTGACATCATCGCTCGATTCGCGCAGTAATCGGTCGAAATTTCGTGTAATTTTCGTACGGCGTTACCCGACGCGACGCAATCGGCACGGTTCAATCGGAATTCTTCTATGTAAAATGATTAATTTGTCTTTTAAATCGCCGAGTAAGTGACGCACGTCACCAATTGAGGGTTAATTATATTATTAATTCGCGTAACGACGCCGTCTCTGAATGTTGCATTCCGAATCGATGAAAGCGGGGGAATTGTTTGCGCGTGGAACACGCCGAGGGTTAGTATATTTGCTCGTTGCGTTACGGTGTCGCCCATGAATTTCAATCGTATCCCGAATTAATCGAAACACGCCGTAGGATCTGCGCGATAAATCTTGACTTTCGAATTGCCTTAAGTGACGCAATAAAGAGGTAACCGCGTACCAGTTCGCGCGTGCGATATTTTCATAAATCTTGCTCTGCTCGAGGCTGACCGTGTTACGGTAGGATTCGACGATTGAAAATTTCATCGAAACAAAAAAAATAAGAATCGTCCGTGAAGGAATTATTCGACGAGGGAAAACGAAATTGAAGCTCGATACTTTCACGGCTACCCTTGAACTTGCCGGGTCTGATCGATACAATAAAACGTTTCTAAAACGAACGCGGGCCGGTCTTGCAATTAACGACTGATTCCGAAATCATTCGTGCGCGAGCTTTTTCTATCCCCCGTCGCGCGTGTCATGTGCACGCGCCCGCGCGTGCATCGTCGACTTGTGTACACAGCAAACAAATCGATGATGTTTAGCCGTGTGTATCGTGCGCGTATAACGAGACGTCCTCTTTCAAAGTGTTGCTTTACCAATTGCCACGATAAAGTCGAGCGGTGGCTGGTTACCAGCGGCCCCAGTACTTATGCGCCGTCCCAAGAAAAGAAGGGGCGTAATTACGATTTTTCGCCAATCGCGCGAATCGAACGATTTCCGTTCGTCGGGCACGGGTCGCCGCATGATTTCGTTTTTAATATTGTTTACCTGGACGCGTAAAGATAAAACGCAGAGATCTTTGTTCCTCAAATATTGTACACGGTAACGCAACCACGTTGTGTATAATCTAGATAGGCTTACGATTCAACAAGCACGCCTGCTTACGTTCAACATTCGCGGAAAAAACTACGCGGTATTTCGCTCAGCCATTTCGTCTATTTTAGATAACGCTTTATTGGAGAACTATACAGGGTGTTCGGACAACGATGGGAAAAATTTTAATGGGACATTCTAGAGGCCGAAATAAGACGAAAATTAAGAATACCAATTTGTTGATGGAGGCTTCGTTAAAAAGTTATTAACAATTAAAGTAAAAAATTTCTAATCGTTCTGGAAAAATTATTTTTGGTTGCGGGGGTCAATTACAATCATTTTTGGTCATTACACATACCCCTGAAATCCTGCGCATTTTCAAGAAAAAAATTCGAGAAGGTGCCTAAATTTTTCGTCGAAAAAGAAATTTTTCAAATCGTTCTAAAAAAATTATTCTCGGTTGCGGGGGTCAATTACAATCACTTTTAGTTATTACACATACCCCAAAAATTCTACGCATTTTCGAGAAAAAAATTCCTTACCGAAAATCTAATTAGGTGCCTGAATTTTTCGACGAAAAAAGAAAAATTTCAAATCGTCTGGAAAAATTATTTTCGGTTGCCGGGGTCGATTACAATCATTTTTTATTATTACACATACCCCCGAAATCCTACGGACTTTCGAGAAAAAAATTCGAGAAGGTGCTCAAATTTTTCGACGAAAAAGAAAAATTTCAAATCGTTCTAAAAAAATTATTTTAGGTTGCAGAGGTCAATTGCAATCATTTTTGGTTATTACACATACCCTCGAAATCCTACGCATTTTCGAGAAAAAAATTCAGTGCGTGCGGAACTTTAAATGTTAATAACTTTTTAACGAAGCCTCCATCAACAAATTGGTATTCTTGATTTTCGTCTTACTTTGGCCTCTAGAATCTACCATTAAAATTTTTCCCTAGGTTGACCGAACACCTTGTGTATAATAATAACCTCGAATGAAAAAATCTCGTTAGCTTAAATGTCGATTCATATTGGTATGAAATAAGAAAAAGTATTGAAAATTGTTGACTCGGACCACTTTCATAATTGCTGACGTGTACGAACGTAATTATCGACGAACAGCAAAATGGAGGGTAACCGGGAATGAATGGTCGAATACTTTCGGTCGGTAGGGGGCGAAGGTCGCCTAGTTCATAGAATCGCAAATTCGATAATGTTTCATAATCTTTCCTATATTGTATCTTATATAAAGTTCTACGGTTGCAAGGATGTAACGTATTAACGAGATTATTTTATTACCATTACATACAATCCGACGATCATTACGTTGTATGTTTGATTGCATTACTGTTTGACGGTTACGGCAATAAAAATTAATTGACGGGTTTCAACGGTAAACGGACGAACGCTGTTATCACGTGGAAAAGTTTTATTGAATCGTTATAGTCATGCCGATATTCGGAATAGAAAATATTGGCCGCTCAGAGCCGTCGAGCAGCCATCCCCACCAACTTTAATCTTTCCGCGTTGTATTGTTTACGCCAGTGGTTCTCAAACAGTGGACCGTGATCCCCCCGGTGATACCTCTTCGCGACGCGGTTACGTTTTTTAGTTTAAAAATATCCCCCGGATTATTGGTACAGGCAATATTTGTTCTGCATTCAGCAGATTCCCGAGTAAAAATCGTCTGGCCCACATGTGGGTCAGCGTACAGCGAACGTGTTGAAAACATCCGTTATAAGGTTCTGTTATCGTCAGTCGAAAAAACATCGAAGAGGAAATTTTTTTTAAATTACACTCTTACCGAGTGTGGTATTAAGCTTCAAAACGAACGCTAATTTTAGTTCCGTATGTTTGTGCATTATTATAGTAAACATCGTAGAAAAAGTTTTAAATTAAATATTAAATAAACTATAGTTTATAAAAGCATACCGGCACTAATAATATTTACGTAATCGTATTATTCCTTTTTATCTAATATTTATTTTGATCTTTGACCGTATCTTTTTATCAAGGTATTGGAAATTAAAAACGTAAGTGGCTTACGTTGACTCGTCGCTGATATAGTAAGTAACGATTATATCGAAGAAATTTTGTTAACCTCATGTCAAATGGATACCCTGATAACTGTATATTTTTAAATAATAACAAACCATTGAACTGTTCGGTACTTGAAAATTTCTCTTTCGTTCTTACATGTGAAAAATCGATACTCGACGGTAATGTATAAATCGATTCGTGTCGTTAACCTTCTCGATGTAAAGACCGTACGACGCGTAGTGTCGCGTCCTCTGCACGCCAGAGGGTTTACCGCTCGCGCCAAACGGATTTCCCGAACGCTTATAAGCGCCTGCAACGTCGAAAGGGTTAAGGATCAAGGACGGATTCATACGGGGGCTAATTGGATTATTATCCGAAGCCATCGAAAGGCGTGTTTTTCTAACGTTCGGAGAAAAATTTAAAAAAAACACAACGATTCACTGGACAGATTAGATTAATGGGAGATATACCGTTCGTTTTCAGACGCCCTGCTGCAACAAGGTATACACGTGTCGGTTCTGCCACGACAAGCGGGAGACGCACACGGTGAACAGGAAAGAAGTCACGGAACTGATATGCGTATTGTGCGACACTCGTCAGCCGGTGCAAGCCACCTGCCAAAACTGTCACTGTCGATTCGGCAAATACACGTGCCTCGAATGCAATCTGTTCGACGACGAGGACAAGAATCAATACCATTGCGACGGCTGCGGGATATGCAGGGTCGGCGGTCGCGACCGATTTTTCCACTGTGCCAAGTGCAACATGTGTTTGCCGATTCAGTTACAAAATGGACACACGGTAAATAGCGCGTTACGAAATTTCTGTTTACGACCGTACAGAAAAAAAATATGTACAGTGTGCTCGGGACAACCCTGGGAAAAATTTTAACGGGAGATTCTGGGGGCCAAAATAAGACGAAAATCAAGAATATCAATTTCTTGATTGGGGCATCGTTAAAAAGTTATTAACAATTAAAGTAAACAATTTCAAATCGTTCTGGAAAAATTATTTTCAGCTACGGGGGTTAATTGCAATCATTTTTGGTGAAGACACATACCTTCGAAATCCTATCCATTTTCGAGAAAAAAAATCGAATAGGTTCTGAAATTTTTTGGCGAAAAAGAAATTTTTCAAATCGTTCTAAAAAAATTATTCTCGGTTGCGAGGGTCAATTACGATCATTTTTGGTCATTATACATACCCCCGAAATCCTACGCACTTTCGAGAAAAAAATTCCTTACCGAAAATCTAATTCGGAGCCTAAATTTTTCGATGAAAAAAAAAATATTTCAAATCGTTCTGGAAAAATTATTTTCGATTGCAGGGGTCGATTACAATCATTTTTGGTCATTACACATACCCCCGAAATCCTGCGCATTTTCAAGAAAAAAATTCGAAAAGACGCCAAATTTTTCGGCGAAAAAGAAATTTTTCAAATCGTTCTAAAAAAATTATTTTCGATTCCGGGGGTCAATTTCAATCATTTTTGGTGAGCAGACATACCCCCGAAATCCTGCGCATTTTCGAGAAAAAAATTCATTACAGTTAGAACTTTAATTATTAATAACTTTTTAACGAAGCCTCTATTAACAAATTTGTATTCTTGATTTTCGTCTTATTTTGGCCGCTGGAATCCCCCATTAGAATTTTTCCCACGGGTGGTCGAACACCCTGTATATTCGATTTTGTGTGTAAAGTGTGCACGGTTACGAAAGTGTTCGTTTGTTCAGTGTGTGTAACAAATTCATTTACTCTTTGACCACGTATCGCGTACACGTATAGAGGCGTGTCTCAAAATGTCAGGGTCACGCTCGAAAATGCGTTATCGAAAAGATAGAAACGTTTCAAGATTTACGAGCAAAATTCGTTGTACGGAATCGTGTGCATATCATAAATTCTCATTGTCGGTTTTTGTTTACGCGTCCTGACCTACGACCATGCTAATTCGACGAACCGGAAGTCTGTATTCTCGCGGTAGGCAGAATTTTCATAAATCATAAATATCTTTCAAGGTTGAGATAAGGTCACGTAAACATAAATTCTTCCTATTGAAGTTCTTTTGAAAAAATTGCTGAAAACGATTTCCTTTTGTTAATTTAAATCGACCAATTTGTATAATGCACGTGTAGTTATTTTATGATGATCAAGTTTTTGAAAGAGTAAGCTATATTGACCGTCGATTTAGAAACAATTTTTTATTATTAATATCTGTTCGAATTTTTCAGTGTGTGGAAAATGTGTCGCACGCAAATTGCCCTGTCTGCCTGGAAGACATACACACGAGCCGTATACCCTGTCACATTCCAAACTGCGGTCATCTACTGCATCGCACGTGTTTCGAGGAATTGTTACACTCAGGACATTACGCTTGTCCCATTTGTCAAGTATCGCTTCTAGATATGACTGACTTATGGAGATTTCTAGACATGGAGGTGTCGTTGACACCGATGCCAGAAGAGTACAGAGATTACAAGGTCGAGATTCTGTGTAAAGACTGTCACGAAGTAAGCTATACCCGCTTGTGGACATTTATTTTGCAACACAAAACACCGGAAGTAATGACAAATTATTTAACGTTTCAGGAATCGACGGTAAAATTTCACGTTGTAGGTTTGAAGTGTTTAAATTGTGGGAGTTACAACACTTGCAGGGTCAAAGGCTCCCCTTCACCGGGTAAATATCAATTATTGTGATTCCAAACTCTTTCAAACGCGTATAGTGTCTTCATTAAAAAATAAAAAAATGAATTTTCAGCAGACGAAGGGAGACGAAGAGAAATAGCAACGCCGGACTCTGAGTATTAAAGAGAAAAAAGATGCTCGATCGTTCCCGGGAAACTGTTTATAAAGATACAGTGGAGGAAGGCCTTTACCTCTTTACTTGTTTTTAGTGAATTTACACGTCTTTGTTGATTGTTTTCAGACTTTTCATAGACACTATTTTGTTGGAAGGGCCGAAACGAAGCGGCTGGCCACGATCAGCGCCTCGTCGATGGCCGTGAAACGTTAGCAAAAATCATTAAATATATTTACGTTGCAGCGTCGAACGTAAATAAAATTGACACGATACGGAACTTGAATCGTCAGGAATACAAGTTTCTTATCCGCAAAGATTTCCTTTGATAACAGTATTTCGAAATAGATCAGTACGTTTCGGACGTTTGTCTTTCTCGCGGAGATCACCCGTTTCCAAAAAATAAAATTCTTCTCGCTCTGTTTTTCCCCCTCTTTTATATATATATATATAAATATATATATAGATAGATATGTACAAATATAGAGATTCTTGCACTTCGTGATACGTGACTTTCTTTCGATGCAATCTTTTCGTAAATGCTAACGAACAACGTGTACCGGTAGTACTAGTCAAAAATCAACCCTCCCCCACCCCACTCTTTTAGCTATTGTAACCAAGAGCTAAGGGACCCTCTATAATATTTACCAGACGCATATAGTTTCCCCGATTTTATATTACGCAGCTACTACACGTAGAAATAGAGAACAATGAGATTATTACTAATAAGACGCATTATATACGTTAAATGGAATTAATCGCGAGCGCAATTTTCGAAAAGATCGCCATTTAGTCAAGGATCATATTCGGGTCTGCTTGATGTGTGACACAATTTCTGCATTGAATAAACGAAAAAAAGAAGAAAAAAAATGCGCGGGGGAATCTCAGATAGTTGGGTGACGTAAAAGCTGATGTACCCAACGGTACAGACGATTTTTTTGGGAATTTACAAAACCAACGCAACGCGTATCGCGAGCCAGCGAAACGACACGTGAACGTAATCAGATTTCACGACATTCATCTATCGAATTTTATCGGGCATTATCACACCGTGTTATTATGATCTAAAAAAAAAAAAAACATATTCGTGATTGTACGCTTCGTAATGTCGCGCGTATGTTTAGGCGTTTTAGTGCACGCGTTTACGAATACCGCGTCTTGTTTGGAGTAGGGGGTTGTGTTGAACAAAATCCTCGAACAATGTGTGATTTTGGATAACGAAAAAAAAATAACAAATAAACGAGAAATATTTATCGAGCAAAGATACACGGAACTATAGTTTCAACTATTTACCGGCGATTCGTCTTGTTAACTTTCTCGACGCTGTTCCGAGAATCATAGCTAGTGATGTTGAATCGTACGTAGACTGTATTCAACCGATCGATAGTGACTACAATGCCAGTGACATGCAGGGGTGTTCCTAAAAACATTTGGTCGAACGTTACCAATTTAAACGATGAGAAAATTGTTGTCAAATAATGTTTATACGTTTGACTGTGTTTGTTCGTACCGTTAGTCTTCGCTAGCGTGCAACTTTCAATGCATATGTAACAATATTTACTCAGTATGTTAGAACACGCAGGTCGAATTGAGCCAAACAATTTAGCAACGCCCTCTACACCCTCACGAGAAATTCATTTGTTTCTTGACAAACAAGAAACGATGTTACTTGCTTTGACATTTGTTGCAACGAAACGGGATAGAGCACCTCTTCTTCGAATCAAACGCATCAGATTGTTCACGCATTTTTTTAACGGGACAATTTTTAATTCAAGAACTTTTAATTTGTTGGTTATGTACAACGCGTCGAAACGTTTGCGAACGAAGTTTTATTTTGAATTGTTGAATATTGAAAAAAGAAAACGCAAAAAAAAAAAAAACAAAGATATAATAAAAATATTAAAAGCATAGCGGAGTGTTGGAAGCGTGTGTACGAAGAGAGAGAGCCTTAGAATCGCGTTCGACGCTCATTGGATTGTTTGTAAACGTTGTTGAACGAATCGTGCCCAGTTTTGTATCGCTGGACGACGATTACGAGTCGTACCAGTTCCCTCGTAATTTAATTACCGATACGAGATAATACACGAAAGAAAACATCATGTTCGAAACTCCATGGCAGCTTGAATCGGTCAGACAGATCCGATATACCTCAATTATGATTATGAAAACTTATTAATTATGCTCGGTTCAACTTCTATTCGTACCAAGCTCAATACGTACCAAGCTGATTGCTCACAGCATGTACCTCTTGTCCATTCCATGGCATTCCAAGTTTCGTGAAACAATAACATATGCTGGCGTACACTGAAAAACGAACTATCGTCATTTACCCAATAGGTAACGTAATTAGCACATTTAATTGCGCGTCGTAATCGATCCGCGTGGACGTAAATCATAGGCGTTACACGCGGGGACGCTGATCCAAGGCGCAATTACAATGTTTCTTTTTTGGTGTGATTATCATCACGTCTTTATTATTCAGTTGTAAATTAAATACCAGTTACAAAGGCTCTTTGTACATAACGGCCGCAATAATGCTTTTGTTTTATATTATATATAATATATACTATTGTATCAAATAAACCGGCTATTATTTCGTCTTTTCGTCTTACGTTTTCGTACGAACGTGACAAGGAGTCGCTACGCCGTGTGCGCACGCGCGCAACGAAATGTTAACTTCATGATCCACATGCGAGTTACATAAATGTCCTCTTGGTCGTTCGAATAAAGAAAATATCGCGAGGTGTTGGTAAAAGAAAGAACGAATACTTTACGGGAAGTGCATACTCGTTTCCCTTATCTGTTATTCGCGAGTAGACGCGCACGCGCCATCTTGTAGCAACTTCTTATCACCCGCAAAGAGAGAAAAAAGAAAAAGAACAGACGGGTCTTTTCGCTTTGCTTTCGATTCTGCGGCTCGTTCGTGTCTTGCAAAGAACAAACTGCAAACGGAAGCGTATAGATCAAGCACGTGACATTCCCCTCTCCTTTTTGATGCAATTTCGATTGTACCGTGGCGTTCTTTGAAATGCAACTGGGTGCAACGCAGCGTGCATCGGGACATTCGTATCATAACGTAAATAACCTTGCTTCTGCTGGTGCAAAAAAATACAGACGAAAAAAAAGGGCAGTGATTTGGGTCCGACGACGGTGACATCTCACGGTCGCACCGTTCACCAAGAACATGCCCCGATGCACAACGCGTCGGGTCCCCAAGTTCCTACGAAATTCTCTAATAGATTTATCTTTCACGTTTTTGCATCTTCCTTAAAACTCGTCCGACAGATCCGTATTCGATAGAGAAACAAAGGCCATATTCCTTAAACGGAAGCGCCGCATAGTTTTTAGCTACGACTAGTTCAACGTCGCGTGTTTTTCCTTTTGTACCACGAAGTGCGACCGAGCCCCTACGGTTGCAGAAAGGCTTTCAGAAATTCAGCGAACGAGGACGCAACGGCAAATACCCATGGCTGCTAAGAAATCGTCGAGCGGCTCGCGTCATTTCGAGCTGATCGCGTGTGCGTCCGCAGGCCACCATTGTCCATTGTGCCTCTAACTGTAGCTGGAACAAACGCGGCGTCGACCCTTTTGCTTAAATCATGTATTACAACATTTACGATCTAATGCACGTCGGGAGTTCACCGTGAAACTCGATGCGTCGCAACAGATGTCTTTCGAGTGCGTCCGAAAATATATTAAGCCGCGAAGCGAATGGAACGGTAATTCGACACGAGAATATCGTGTTCTCTGCGCGTCCAGTCCCCCCTCCCCCCCATATGGTACAGTTAATTTAGGGGGTAACAAAAAAAGAATCGACTAAATCGAGATGCACAAGCGTCATAAAAATTTATGTTCGACTCCGTAAGATCGCTAGGTTGGAATTACAATTATATCAATTGTCTTGGTTGGAACGAGTCTTGAGAATTAGAATGAAAATTTTTAAATTGTAACTAAGAAACTTTCCATCGTGGTACGAGTAATCTGGTGTCAAGGAACCAAGACTTGAGAGAAGGCGAATAAAAGAAAAGAAAGAAAACTCACCTTGGCGCGTTTAACCGGCCTGAGCGGCAGAGGGCTGAGGATACAGCAGGGACTGTCGAACGCGTCGAACGTGATCGCCCTCTTGGCGTTAGGCTTCCGTTGAACGGACGCGAAGTCGTGGGAAGTCTGGAAAGGATAGACACACTAGCTACAGCCGGCGATTAAAAAGAAACCTTGCGTTCGGAAAAAAATGCCCGATCGAAAGAAACGTCTGCGTTCGAAAAAACGCACGCCCTGAAGGCCCGAGCGAGACGTCTCGCGTCCGAAGTCGCTCGAGAGACTGACGAGAACCCGCGAGAGAGGGGGGAATTATAGACAGAGACGGAGAACAGATGGGACGTATCGAGACAGAGAAGAACAGATAGGTTTACGGGGAAGGGATTTCGGGGGAGCTTACTTCGCAGAGACTCACGGGACCGACGTCTGTGCTCGTCCTTTGCAACGTTGTTTATGTTTTTTCTCGCCGGGGCACACGTTTCGCACGCTCGTCAAACGAACCTCCGCCCACTTTTTCATCGTGGATTGACTAGGCCTTTTTTTTGCATTCTTTTTTTTTTGTTTTTTCTTTGCACGGTTTGCAAATCGGTTTGAAGAAGCGTCGTCTCGCGACCGCTGGAGCCGCCGCACAAATTGTCTTTGGACTTGTATCGGGACAGGAGTCGAGGGATCGAGGATGAGGAGGGTACTTTGGTACGCTAGGCCAGGCCTGTATACAAAGGGATGTTATACGTTCGAGTTAGTTGTAAACATGCGGCAACTCAACGTTATTTACGAAAGGAATAAAAATATATAAATATATGTATATATTAATATGATAATAAATATTTAAAGAAACTATACTTTCTTCTTCTTCTTCGATGCGTACACTTGTATATACTGTACAGGCTGTTCGCGAGAATACCAGCCAGTTAAAAAGTTTTATTGTATTTCGTAATCGACATAACGGTCTAGCAACACGTTCACTGACGGGCCCAATTGGATACGTGTTAACTGAATTAATACAAAACGTACAGACCATTATGTTGGATATAGGAGCCAAATGGCTAGTATTTTCGCGAACATCTTGTACACGTATTGTCGTGCTGGACACGATCTGAAAATCGTACGAAGAACGAAGGTGTCACGAAGATATATACTTTGGAATCTACACGTACGTACACATTCCACGCCGGGACGGGTCATCGGCGGCCCGTTCACCAAAAGCAAAACATTTATCTTTTTACACGTTTCCGTTTGGTATCTAACTAAAAACTTGGAGGACGAAAGCGAGACTGTACGGTATCTAGTACGGCGTGTGATTTCACGTATTTATACAGGGTGTATTCAAATGAAACGATGGTATAGTACGTCCTATAAAATTTAGTTGATATCGTTGGTCCAAATTAACCAGAGGGTTAATGATTCGTTGCTATTTGTACATATGTAATTTGTATAAATTTTATATTATTTATATATATTTTGGAAATAGTGCCAATACGGTCCCGCCGTAATTGCCTGATTTTATTCGTATTAGCTTAATCAATTTCATGGGGCGTATTATAGTCTGTGCTCTGACAAGAAACGTTTACGTTTGTAAATTCTAATTAATAAATATTATCTATTTAACGTATCTATGGTTCTTAATGACAACAGCTTCTTCAAAGTTGGTGGTAAATGCCAAAAAAGATTTATAAGTTAGCTGTTACGCTTAGAAACATTCTAAAAAATATTTATAGGTTATGGTGTACGATACGTGAAGGTTTTCAAGCAAAGTTTATTCAAGGAACCATTTATGAACATACATTTACTGGAACTTTTGTATGCATAATTGCATTTCTTAGCAGAATCCAAGTATTCTTTGATACACCCTGTATCGTATCATTCGTTTTTAACGTTCTACGATATCACACATGTTTGAATGCGTTAATGGAGCTATTTGCTTCTCAAGTAATTTTTAAGAAAAAGCTATAGTAACGTTGGCTTATTAGTTAAAGATGAATCTCTCTGTACCACGATTACACGTGATTGTTGCAGCACCCTGTATGTTTCTTATACTATTAAATAACACGCTAACTTAATAAGTTCACCGGGCTGAATGCTTCCAGTTCACTTCGTCCCCAAAGTATCAATTAATGTACACGAATAATTTACACGAATTAAAACGTCAACAACAAAAGGAAAAAAAAGAAAAAGAAGATAATGAAAACTAAGTCCAATACTCATAACCGTAATTTAATTCTCGGTGAAATCGAGTCCAAGTTAAGAGCAAGCGATTGTGGCAAACAAAAACGAAACAATATCGACCGTACATCATCGACCGTATGCACAGCATCAGAACATCGTGAATTTTCGTTCGAAATAAACAGTACGGATGCATCCAATCTGAAGTTAACACCTAAACAAAAGCTCGACCGCGATAAAAATGTATACACGCATTTAATAACTTAAGTACACCGTCGATGCGTTTTAACGAGGCGTATTAACCTCTACGGGTAATAATAAAACAACGTGCAACACGTTTTCTAGCTCCGTGATCGTGAAGTTGGACAACAGCTTCGGATCGTTAACGCTACATATAAATAATTTAACAGGAAAAAGCATTATACGCGCCATTGAAATAAGTTAATGTATAAATAAATCGAACGACATTCACGCCGTTCGGGTTAGTCGTGTTACTTTATACTTAGAACTTAAAAGAAAAAAAAAAAATAAAAACGCTAATAATCTTTGGATTGGACGATACCATGGCGACAAGGACAGATAACGAGGTTATGATTTTTTTTCCCCGCGCCTTGGTGTTTAACGTTTAGTCATAAATTAGTTACGAACAAAAAAAAAAAAAATAAAAAAAATAATTAAAGGGAAAGGATGGAGAGAAAGAAGCGACGAGGCATAACATTATCAAGAGGCAGGCATAATTGAAGTACTAAACGAGGGGATAAAGAAATAACGAGTGTTAAAACTAAGAAAGTTAGAAAAGGCCGGCTAGCGTGTCTAAAGGCGATTGGTACGGGAATAATACCAGGATAGGGCTGGTTGTGTTTGAATCAAATTTTGATTATGATGGTCGTTGTTCTCTACCTTCACGGGACTAGTCCCTGCTGTTAAGAAACTATCCTCCAACGCCATGGATGCTGGTGAAAACAATACCGATGTGTCCAAACTTTTACTCTGCAAAGAGACAAGACGATCGATTGGTAAATCGAATCGCTCTTTCGCAAGGCGATTGATAAATACGTGCCAATATATTGGAGGTTGAATCTACACACTGAACGAAGGAATAACGTTACAAATCTTCTGTACTTTGGGAAAAAAATATTTGTATTCTGTGAATTGCAATAAAAATAAAATTAAATAAGGAACGAAACACGATACGTATCTCGTACCACAGTGAACGTGTTAAGTTACTGCGACTTACAAGCGGAGCCCACGGGTGTGGAAATCGCTTTTAGGATAAGATTGGGTATAATTTGTAGCATACAGATAGCGTGATAAGAGTCTCTCGAAAATTTGGAGAATTTATGTTTACCATGCTTTTATCCCAACTCTTTAAGAAATTTTTTTACTCGTTTTAACGTGTAGATTCATTTACTGAATTATTGCCACGCACTTAATCGCATCACCCCATCGAGCACTGTGATAAATAACAATTTCCAACTTACTGGTGTTTCTACAACGAAACTCATTTCTGAATTATCCTGAGAAGCATTCGCCCAGGCCTGACAGAGTGCTTTGCGGGCCCTCTTTCCGCCGGGGGCGCTGTTCTCCTTGCCCCGTCGTCGTATCGTGCTGTAACCGGAGTCCTGGAGGATGGCACTGGTCCCAGCCAAACTCTCACGGTCGGTTTCCTGTTTGATGATCTCGGTTAGAGCATCGAGACGACTGGGGGTGGCAGGTAACTGAGTAGTCGCGCCGCTACGCCGCTCCAGCTCGGCCAGAGCGTTCTTGAACGGCGTTGGCGTCCTCGGCGTGTTGCCGTCTGAAAGTAACAAAGTTGTCAGGCAAGATTCGCGCAAAAACGTTGGTTAAAAATTATATTAAAACCAAATCTCGATTACCATTCTGACTTCGTCGAAAACCAGTGGGTTGTGGTGTGGTAAGAGGACCAGGACTGCTTCCCTTAGGGGTACTCGCCCTCGGCCAGGAGGATGTTTCAGGACTCAGACTGTTCAAGAACTGCGACGGACTAAATGGCAGTTGCTTGATAGGAGTGGATGGGGTATTGTCGCCAGTTTGCTGTTGCTGCTGCTGTTGTTGCTGCTGCTGCTCCTCTTGCTGCTGCTGCTGCTGATGGTGCTGCTGCTCTGGCTGATGTTGGGTTATGATAATATAATCCGACTGGTTTCCACTGTCGGGAGAGCCCGTTCTCTGCTGGTGAGTATTCTTGCGCCGACGGAGAATCGGAGGTGGACTGCTTCTCTCCTTCTCCGCCATGTTTGATATCTCGTCCAAGTCTGGCATAGGCATTAGTCTTATCTCCGAACTTCTTGAGCTGGTCGGTTCACCTTGTATTTGCAGATCAAAATACCTGCCGGAAGGGATGCACTTGTAAAATAACCTTTTCTAGCCATATATAAGTAATACCATATAGGTATTATAGTTGAAGGGTTAAATTTGATTGCTGACGGCGAGAACGTACTTGGTAAACGGCGAGATCGATTCAGTCTTGACTCTGGTGGACGAGGTCCCTTGTTTCGAGGGGGATTGCAGCCGAGAATCGGTGTTGTGCGTACGTTGGTTGAGACTGAGGAGACCTTGGTAGGTTTGACTGCTCTGTTGATGATTGTCCCAGGCCCTGGTCCAGTCCAGCTGGTCGATGTTCAGTGTATGGGCCTGCACGTTCGTCAAAGACGTTGCGTTTTCATTGCTAGTCGATGGTGGTTTCAAGCGACCGTGACTAGAGGCGTCCTCATCCGCGCAACCAACATCCTTCGACACAGACGACGATTCTGTGGCTTTTCTCCTACCCCTCCCTGTTGAAAATCGCTATCGTTATTCATTTGACCCTTCGCTACTTTTTCCTGCCCGATCAAGAAAGAAATCAAACCTCTGGATCCGGTGATGGACCTCCCCTCCTCCGACTCGTACTTCCTCCTCATGGTGCTGTTCCAATGATTCTTAATCGCATTGTCGGTCCTCCCCGGCAGCAATTTGGCGATTTTTGCCCACTGATTGCCCACCCTGCGATGAGCCTCGACGATGATCCTGTCCTCCACCTCCGTCCACGCGGTCTTCTTGATTCCCGGATTCAAGTGATTGTGCCATCGTTCCCGACACTGCTTACCGATACGACCCTTCAGATGCCGTGCAATTAACGTCCACTTCTTTGGGCCGTATCGTTCCACTAATTCCACCACTGCCTCATCCTCCTGCAAGCATCGCCATCGGTAAGGGGAAACAGTTCCATTTATGGGTCTCAAGTATTCGTGACAGCCATTCCCTATGAACGGGGGGTCCTTAAATACAGGATGTTCATCCTTGGGGAAAAATTTTAATGGGGGATTCTAGAGGCCAAAATAAGACGAAAATCAAGAATACCAATTTGTTGATCGAGGCTTCGTTAAAAAGTTATTAACGTTTAAAGTTTCGCCTGTGAGACAGCTGCGTGCGCATGACAGTGGTTCTCACTCAGAAAACTGTGAGGCTGTCGATACGTTAATAAGCTGAGTGAGAACTACTATCCTGCGCACGCAGCTATTCCGCATATTGCCGTTCCACAGACGCAACTTTAAACGTTAATAACTTTTTAACGAAGCCTCGATTAACAAATTAGTATTCTTGATTTTCGTCTTATTTTGGTCTCTAGATTCTCCCATTACAATTTTTCCTAGTGTTGGTCAAACACCTTTGTATAAAAACAATTTTAATTTCTGAACAGTTTTTAATAACATTCGATATCCTGTCGTGAATTAAATCTGGGGAAATATTTCAATGTTGGTGAATTCCTTCCGTGGATGGTTCCATCCAGCCGAATTACCGAAGTTGACCGTTGCGAGACGTTCAGGCCGGTAAGTGGCACAGAAAAACGTTCGACGTTGCGCCGGGAGAGGGGGCAACGAGAGCCTCACCGCCGACACACGGGTCCACCCATCCCCCGGGGTGAGTCTCGCGAGTAATTTCTCCCGGGCTGCGGAGCCACGAGGAGGTGGAGAACGAGGCGGTAGGTCGAGAGGAAGAAAAGGAACGAGCGAGATGACAGGACACGCCGGAGAGATGATCGTCGCGGGAAGAAGGGAACCGAAGGAGGATGGCGGGAAAGAGCGTACCGGCGGCAACGAGGACACGATGGGTTTCCGAGCTCCCATACCGACGTATCAGGTGCGCACACCGACGCCGTATCCTACGTGAGCGTCGCGTACACGGTCTCGTCGCGCGTTCGTTACACGGGGAGCGGCTTCACTTGCCCTTGGCTGTTGCCAAGTGCATTGCCACGACGGCGACGACGACGCAGCATCTCCGCGGCTACGCCGGGACTCTTTTTCTTTATTGCATACCCCACCGAGGCGACCGTGGAGCCGTTCGTTCGTTTCTCCGTTCGCTCGTTCGTTTTGCGTCCTACGTGTAGGCGTACGCGAGGCTCTGGGGCCGTTACGAACTCCGAGTCGCCACGGTCGGTTGGGACTGTAAGGGCCCCCGGGCCTCGCGCCCCAGAACCTTCCAGGATCTCTCGTTCGTATGCACGCGTTATACTTTTTTTTTCTAGTTTTCTTTTAACGTTTAGGACCACTCCCGGGAGAATTTTTTTTTTATTATACACACAACTTTTATTTTTCTCGTACGTTCATAAGCAAGGAAACAATTGTATTTTTTTTTTTAATCAAATTTAACAATAAATGTAAATATATTTCAAACTGTAACTCTTTAGTTACTTTTATTAACGGTGGATCAAATCTGGATTCTTTCTTTTTAAATAGTTGCATACCACTTTATTCAACGTTTCTCGTAGTATGTATCTTTCAACCTCAAAATTTATGAGTCCTGTGCAGATTTATTTCCCTTAAACATCTCACCTTGGGAATTATTTTTTTTTTTTAACTTTTTAGTGAAAAGTTCTGTTAACCATATATAGGTGGCGCGGAGGTCAACGCGTTAATTCCAATAAAATGTGAATATCTACGTCAGTCTGGGACCAATTAGACCGCAAGCACTATGGATCATTTTTTAGTCGATTCTTTTGGTAAATATCCGGTACAGGGGACGACAGGATGTGTGTTGAACTTGACACATGTTATGAAGGACACTTCCCCGATTCTCGAGAGATTTAAGCCATCGTTATTAACACTAGATTGCCCAAGGAAGTCATTTTGACTGCTTTTTAATTTCAATTAGAAAAACAATTATGACACAATTTCTTAGAATTTTGTGACTTTTTGTACAACATATAAATGCGTTTATTAATAATTGTAGTTACCTCCCCCCTCCGTCATTTCTGGTATATATATATGTTATACCTATATTGCCCAAAAGCAGTCAAAATGCATTGTGAAAGAATAACTAATGTGCAAAGAAATTTGTTTAAAATTAATTTTTAATATTATGAATTTAGGGCACAAAAGAAATAAAATAAACAACTCTCTATAGTGTTTAGTTAGTCTTTCTAGTGTTAATGATACTTTATCAAAATTTTGAAAATATTTCTGCTTCCAGTTCTACTGGACCCACCTTATACATATATCCCCAAGATTTTCCAAAGCGTTCAATTTTTTTATAAGAATATTAGCACAAAATGCAATTTAAATAGGAAAAATTAAACAGAAAAATTTGAAAGAATATTTTTCATTCCCTTGTACTGTACTTTTCCCATCCACTTGTATTCCTACGGACTCTCTGTATTTTCTGGTAAATGCTGTCGGGGGGAACCTCGTCCCAGGCCATATAATGAACGAACCTTCTTTCTTTCTCTTTGCTCGGTGGAAGAAACTTTTCAGGAAAGGGGATGTAACGGTTCTTCGCGAACTTTCTGTCAACGGTCATTCCGATCGGCTATTGCATTCGAATTCCTGCGGAACCTTGTCCCAACAACTCACGACTCGACATCGACTTCCGTTCGACTTGTACACGGTGTACAAAAATGATCTATTCCAATAATAAAATTAACAAATAAATTACGTTCCTTCTCACGAGGAAGCACTTGTTTACGTAAAAAGAAAAATTATTTTTATTTTTAATTTTACAATTTTTTAAAGTTATTCCCTTGAGTACAACCCCCAAAAGAGATATTATGACACATGGAAAGATCAGACTCTTGGACTATTTGATAAAAAAAAAAATTGATTTTCAAAAATATTCCTAGCTCCTTTCCTAATTTTTCCAATGCATTTGAGCCTTCTCGAGGAAGACTTTTGGTTCGCCAGGGTTGGTAGAAACGAAGGCTGGGTATCATCGACAGGAGAAGGATGCAAAACGAAATTCAGGTACCTCTTTCGTCCAAGGTCCCTTGACCAACTCCGGATTCACGACCTTTGCCCATCTCTGCTGGCATTGGACGTCGCTCCGGTCAGGGAAGTGACCAGCCACGGCGTCCCATCGGAGTCCTGTGCCCCGTTGCTCCGCATTGCTCACTAACTGCTTCAATAAAGCATCCTGGAACAGTCACCAGCGAAGACACGAACGCGTTACTCTCGGTGAAACATCTACAAGAATTATTATCTCAAAAACACCATACATTGCCCCCCTCACCCCATACAGAAAGATTAAATTGATCAATAGAATTTCAGCTACCGGAAGATGGCGTCCTAAACGAACTCTGATAAATTCTGGGCCAATTTAAAAGCAGGTGCATCGCTAAAGAATACGAAGACCCGCTAATAAGACCGGGGAGACTTTTACGACTCGCCGCGTAAAATTTTGATTATGTTTTTTATTTAGATACTGCGAACATAGCTCGTTAGTTGGGCAATTACCGGTACCACCGAAGACCCCGTGAATTTCGTTTAATTAGTAAACATCGGTGATCGCCAAATACGATTTACGATTCGGAATTAAATAGGAAAAATATTAATGGCCGATAAATTTTTCAAGGGACGACGTAGGGTCAAAAGAAATTCGGACGTATTTATGGCTGGAACGATTTCATTCCGCGATCGCTTCGGGACGGAAAGGGAAAAAGGTCACGTGACAAATGCATAGGATCGATAGGCCTACGCGATGTTTCCCACGGGAAACCATACGGCGCGTAGTAGACGCACATGACTATGGGGTGGTCGAGGGCATCTGCCTGCGGACGTAACTCGTTGTAGAACGTACGAAGGGTGGTCCTTTTTTTCAGCCCATGCTCATTGTATCCCACCCCTCGCGTTACATCCGATCAAAGTCACGGTACGATGACGCCATCTTGCGCGGGCAACGCGAAACTCCCGAAACCGCGGCGGAGAACACCAGCGACGTTCCGTGTGCCCCCGGTGTCGATGACCAAGAAACTCAACGACGCCGTATCGTCCACGGAATTCCCGAACGGTCGTAAAAAATGTTTCGTATTCGTTACCTCCTCTTTGGTCCACCTTCCTTTGTTTATGTGCTTCCCCTGCCCGTGCGTGCTCGCATTCGTCGAGGCCGGATTCTGTGACTGATTAGCGACCCCACGACAGACGCTGCCACTGTACTCGTTGTCAGAGTCACCGCCGCTACTAGAATCGTACCCAGACCGCGATCTAAAAATAAAACAAAGGGAACATTGTCTTACTCGCTCGTTGGAAACCCGAGAAAAAATCAGCGATTCGCATTCGCGGCTCGTCGTCTCGAAACATGTAGAATTGGATGTATTATTTTACTACATTATATACATATAACCTAGCTAAAAGTTGACCCGAAACGATCGACAGAATTCATCCTTTTAACTTGCAAAAAATTCGAATGGAATCCCCGGCTATGGTATTTTCGGGGTGAGTTAAAATTGTCCACGTAAAAATGTGTATTATATACACATAACCTAGCTAAAAGTTGACCCGAAACGATCGACAGGAATCATCCTTTTAACTTGCAAAAAAATTCGAATGGAATCCCCGCTATGGTATTTTAGGGGTGAGTTAAAATTGTCCACGTAAAAATGTGTATTATTTACACATAACCTAGCTAAAAGTTGACTCGAAACGATCGACAGGAATCATCCTTTTAACTTGCAAAAAATTCGAATGGAATCCCCGCTATGGTATTTTAGGGGTGAGTTAAAATTGTCCACGTAAAAATGTGTATTATATACACATAACCTAGCTAAAAATTGACCCGAAACGATCGACAGGAATCATCGTTTTAACTTGCAAAAAAATTCGAACGGAATCCCCGGCTATGGTATTTTAGGGGTGAGTTAAAATTGTCCACGTAAAAGTTTGTCGAGCGTCGAGTTCGTTTCGAGAGAAAATAAATGCGTGGAGTCCGGGATCGAGGAGTCAGGTTCGCGAGAAGATTAGATACGTGCGAACGTGTAACGGATATAGCTATTTTTTGTATGTACAAAAGCGAAGACGGGAAATCACGGATGGCTGACCGTCCATCCTGCGCCGTTTCTTCCTCTTCTTTGTCGTGAAACTATCGCGCCCGCCACCCCTTTGTTCTTCACCCTTGCCCGAAACCAACGTCCAAGAGGCAATCTTGACCACAGTCTGGCGAGTGTCAGTTTTTGCGGTCACAAGTGGTTTGCTCCTTCGTTTTCAAGGATTTCCTGCCCACTTCCTCCGCAAATGATCGTTATTCATTCTCACCCCTGCCTCCCCCCCCTTTTCTCTTTGCTTCTTCCTCCAGAGATTAGAAAAAAATGTCTCGACCTGATCTTTTCGTAAAAGTGTATAGATTTTATACAAAATTTCACTAACAATGGCCGTTTCTATTCTCCGTAGTTATGATTAGAATAAGCGTGGAATATAGTCGGGGAAAAAGCAATTAAGTAATTTTCAACGTTCGTGGTAAATTGTGCCCGTCTAATTACGCGGTAAATGTGACTTTAAGTGCGATTATTAAACGGTGGGTTGCGCGGCGCTATAACGTATTTACATTCCAGCTACTGTGGAGTCTAAGTTCGCAGGATGACGTAACTTGCCGCGATAGCCAGTTAAACTCGAGATGAAACACACACCCATACACGCAGTGCATATCTGGCGCACACACGAACCGACGCAACGGTCCTGCCCTTGTTATGTTTACTGTTTCTGCCAGCCTACGACCGCGTTTCCGTTGCTAGCGGTCATAACGTCCAAGAACCTTCGCCGAGCGACGCTAATTTAATCCTTTTGTTCCGCTAGAGTTTATCGTATGGACGTTATTATGCCAGGCAACGAGCAAAAAGTATTCCAACGACAAATACTCAATTTTTCCTTACAGTCGAACGATTAAAATTATTCTAATAGAAAATTTGTAAATCGTAATTGTGAATTTAATAACGAATGTAACATGTAATATTTTTTGTTGTCTTTATGTACAAAACCAAACTGATCCGTGCATTGGACTAATTATAAATTTCGACATAACAGATTCCGGTCTAGATCGGTGTTTGGTTAGGATGGTTTCGTAAATAAAGATAAGACGCAGTTACGTTTGAGGTTAGTTCTATCAGAGTGCACGCGTCTAACATGTTGCCATATTGCTACTGGAGGCTTACATTCACAGCTAGGTCTTTTTTTACATAGTAGATAAAAAGTTACTGTTACAAGTACCAAAAAAAAAACACAAATTATCATCGCATACTATCGAGATATCTATCGAATGTTCCATAAAAGTTAATTGCAGGCTTTTAGTAGCGAATATAAAGGAGACACATAATTACCGAACGTAATGAATGATAATGAAATAAAATTTTATGTGATACAGCATATGTGACGCGTCGAAAACCGGATTTTAATACCGGAAATGACTGGCTACCCTTGAATGCATAATTAACTCGTCAGAAATGTGATAACTCCATCGTCGATGATCTCAGCCGGCTCTAGGTCGGCGAAGAAACAATGGCGGCGCAAGATATCTCTCTCCCTGTGCCAGGGCAAGGAAATAATGAAAACGATAAGGTTCACCAGCCATCTGTGTTTCGCATATGTTTATACGTGTCCCGTGTACGTGTACCCCGCGGTATCCTATAAGCGCTATCGTTTCATAACCTCCCATTGTATTTCGTTGCAAGACACACCATAGGGCCCACCTTCCTCTCGGTACACGCAGCTGTTTTGGGGGTGAAAGAGAGAAAGAGGGGGAGAACACGAGGGTGAAGAATGCTTCTGCGTAGCATGAAAAGCTATATATCATAAATTGGCTCGTGCCTTCTGCCTTCCGACATAGTTCTATCAAACATATTTAATTACCATTGTGCACTGTCCCTTTCGATCGTATACCGTTTCTAAAAGCAACCCTTATTTTTAAAGATACTTTTATACACTTCGTTAAGCACACGATCGTATTACTGATGAGTCACCCGGTATATCGCTGTTCCATTTCTTCATATCTGTATACATGTACATACACGCTGTTTCACGCGACTATGTACACATTTACTCAGATACTTCTTTATGTTTAGATTCCGATTTTATCTTCGTGCCTATGTTTATACTTTTATATCTATAAGTACGGCGGGCCAGAAGTACAAGATCGTTTAAATGCTACGGGATCTTTTGTCAACGTATTTTCGACGACGTTCTGCACCCACGTAGAGTGCACGAGCATTCAACGCGAATAGCAGGGTACAATTGACTCTCGTCCCGAAGTAAGTATACGTTGCTTTTGTTTCCTTTCAACGAGGGCAGCAACGAACGCTCTTTACCAAATTGATTTTTTCAATCATTAAACTTTAACAAGATCTAACAATTCTATATATAAAAAAACCGATAGTCTATAGATTTATCTTTATCGCGTTCGTCTATTTCGCTTGGATACGGTGGCGCCGCGCGTGGCAACCGTGTTCCCCGTTCCGTGTAGGAACGAGGTCCGTTTCCATCTCCGCAGCTGTTTTCCAGCAAAGAGAAACTCGAAACGCGAAACGTAACCCGATCCGCCCTGTAATTGAGCATCTAATTGGCGAAGTCTAGCAATGCAATCTTTCGCGAACACATTGGCTTTCCGCAGGTGCACATATGTTTACGTTCCCGACAGAGGACATGTCGGGAATACGTTACGAAGCGCGCGATTCCAAGGGAATGCTAGGAACTGAAAGGGGAGTGCCGTTCGGGTGGAATGTCTCGTGCACACAGACCGCGTTGCGCGAAGGGAAAGAAAAAGAGTTGCCACCGACGAAATTCGTGAAACTATGCGAGGAAATACTTTTTAGCATTCCCTACCTAACCTGTACTCTGCACGAGCCATTCAGAAATCCCTCACAGAACCATCCTTTCGAAGATAATCTCTCGACAAGGAAATATAGGTTATGGATGATATTTTTTAGCTAACCTGTACTCTGCACGAGTCATTCAGAAGTCCCTTACAGAACAATCTTTTCAAAGATAATCTTTCGACAAGGAAATATAGGTTATGTACTTATGCGTTAATACAGATACTTTGAATTAGTTGTCGATCAATCGTTTTTATCAGAATTATATAGCATGAGATCTAATAAATAAATCGCTGACGAAGGCCATTTGCAAAACTGCCGAAATAAATTAGAATAAAATTACGACAACAATAAATAAAGATGATTCGCGAGATTAGAAACTGTAATGAGTGGAAGAATTCAACGTGACTGAGCAATACATTTTAAATCTCAAGGATGCCACGGTCTTCCATGGCAAGTCGTGTCCAATCGCGGTGTATCTAATGTCCATAGCTCCTACGAGAAGACCTCGTTAGATATTCGGTCGGATTTAGACGTCGGCCATATTGAAATAGCGAATTGTCCGAGCCAACGGACGACGAGCAAACAAAATTTTGTCGTATCGTCAACCGTTCGAGAATATACGTTTCTAAAAGCTAAAACTTGTTAACAAAAATTGGTAAATATACCAGACCAGAAAAATCAAGAAAATTAAATAACAACAAGATTATTCCGTAACAAATTCCTGTAGCAAACGGACGGAAGGCATGAATCGGATTCTTCTGCTCCTTCCTTTTCACTTTCTGATTTGTATGTCCAATCGAAAGTCCGAAGCGAAGGCAGAACGTGCGCGGAATCGTTCAACGTACGTCTGCCATTCGAGGCTCCATTCAAATTTGAAAGTGAGAATGAAGGTAGCGCGAACCACGTGCAGAATAAGCCCCCACGTCACGTGTGAACTGACACATCATAAACGGGCGGAATACGTAAACTGTTTTTGTACGTTATAAACAATTAACGAGCATAGCGTTCTGTACAAACAAAATCAATCAAACGAGTACAGAAAACTAAATACTTTTCGACTGGATCGTTTACAAATATTACCAAATTCGAAAATCCACCATTAATAAATTTTCGAATTCTGATGTTAGATTCGCGATCAGTGACCTTAAAAATCCTTGCATAAATTTTCATGAAAATCGAATAATGTTTAAGACACGAGTCGGCCATGTTGGATCAACCATCTTAATTTCTTGATATCAGATTTTTATTTCGCTTCGATAGGGACAGCTACTTGCGCTTTTATTGACACGTTACGCGCGCGAGAAAGAAGGCAGAAATCGACTTGGGAATCGTAAATACGCGTTTGGGTGCGGACTGCGGATCGGTAACCGTTTTTTTTTTTTTCTCTCGCGTTACGTAAAGGCG